CAATTTTTTCCTTTCTTTCCTTTTCTTTGTGATTAATCCTTCCATCATAGTTTTAGGTGTATTAAAAGTTATTCATTAATTTCAACATAATTGACACTGATTTGCTGAATGGTCAAAGACTGGTTTTTGACTAAACCGATAGAATTTAAGTGTTTGCAATATGATGAATTTTTGTTTTAGTCTTCTATTATTTTACAATAAATTTTTGCTTTTAACAACTTTTTACCTTTTAATAATTTACTTTTTAATAATTTTAATACATTTTAGATTGTTATTAAAGTTCATTTTTATATTATAGTTTCTGTTAATAGATGGAGGTGGCTCACTGAAATGAATTAGTTTGTAAAAAAAATTTTTTTGTAATTGCAACATCATATTGTTTCTGAGGATGATTCAAAAGTGAGCCGAAACATGTAAGCGGATTAATTATTAATAAAGTTGTTTTGTTAATCGTATTGATTTGCACAAAAATTGCCGTACTTGACTCCTAGTACCCTGTTATATCTAACCATTTTGTATCATTAAGGAGTCTTTAGGAATTAATTTATATGGTGTGTGCAGTTTGATCAAATCATGCCTACTTTTGCTCTTCGTCGCTTCTCAGGGTGCGATTACGAGTGTATTCCAATATACATTGCTAGTACTGAAAAATTGGTCTGCTATTATTACGTAACGCGCTGCGACAGCATCTAGTTCCATTAATAACGTCACAAATGATGAGCCATATTGCTACTGTGATTACTGCGGCTTTCGAGATGAGGCAGTTACAGTGCAATATAGCATCGCTTAAAGAAGTACAATGCACCGAAATATTCGATCCAGGAAAAAATACCAATATACATTATATTTAACTGTAGAAAATACACATATAATCATTTTATCGAAAATGACTTTTAAATTCCACATCTGATATTCATTCTATTCATTAACTATGTCCATATAGTTTTTAACACGAAGTCAAACTGCTTGAATTAGTGATCCCATAATTAGTTCATTTGAACTTCAAACGAACTATCGCTGCTGTTTTCGTTCAAAAATTATTGACAATTTAGTATATTTATCTACGTCTGTTTACACTACTGCCAATCTATTGCAAAGCAATTTGTTACCGTTCCGAAATACGACAATAGTGGCAGTATCACAGTAATTTTGGAACGGCTACGGCAGTGTATTGTTGTGTCATGGGGTCTGTTCGCATTGTATGAAATTCCTAAATATTTTTGCACTTAAAAAAGATAGGTAAATATTTTGCCTTCAAAAGAGAAAAAGCGAAGATGTCGAGTGCCAAAAGTGCAAGCAATGCGAACAGATCTATAATAATTGCACTTATGGTGAAAGGGTTACATGGTGTGCTCAATTTGGACAAACCACTTATTTTTGTTCTGCGTCATCTTTAAGTGCGCAGTTTACCAATTGTGAAACGCGAAACATGGGGCGGTATTTATAGTCTGTTTTTATTTTAAAACCGTCTTAAATATAATGTTTTAAAATGTTAATGCAGTCCTTGGATTGCTACAGTTATAGGACTTTGCGGAACGAGAAACAAAGAAACGACAGAAAGTGCTAATTTTAGAGAGAGAGAGACGCTTGCAAACTGAGCATATCCTGTAATCCTTTCATCATGGTTGCACTGCCAATAAAAAGAAACACACTCTACATGTAACGCAGTACGCGGTAAAGAAACTAGGTAACTAAGAATAAATAAGAAAATAAGAATCGCCTATGTTTGCTTCTTTTCCCTTCTATTACATGTAGCATGATTTGACTTAATAATTGCATTTAAATTAATGAATTTTATTAAAAAGTGCTTAGTAACATGTACTAGCCCGTGCCTCTTATCGCGCTACATGTAAAGCCGGTTCTACATTGTTGTAAGCTAATCATAAATTTATTACGATAGTCAATATGAAGCGTTGATTTCAAAATGCAAGCTTCAGATTGGCTATCGCAACAAACTTGCTTAATAGCGGCGTACGTAATCCGCGCTATATGTAATCGCACCCTAATCGCACCCTCAGTGAGTGACTACCAATTACACACGAAACATGGAGCGATATTCATAGTTCGTTTTTATTTTAAATATAATGTCTTAAGATGTTAATACAGTTCTCAGTTTGATTTATGACATCTTAAGATTGATTTAAGACAGTCTTAAATGTAAGAATCGACTATGAATACCGATCTGTTTCGCGTCGTGAGAGAAATCGGTACTAAATATTTTCTTGCACAAGGAAAGGTTCAATACCAACTTCACGACAGGTCGGTATTCATAATCAATTCTTACATTTAAGATTGTTTTAAGTCAATCTTAAGATGTCATAAATTGCAATCCGAGGACTGATTAACATCTTAAGATATTTAAGATGATTTAAAATAAATATGAATTATGAATATCCATGTTTTCGCAGTTGTAGGCCTTGCGAAACAAGAAGCAAAGAAACAACAGAGAGCGCTAATTTTAGAGAGTGTGAGAGAGAGAGAGAGAGAGAGAGAGAGACGCTTGCAAACTGAGCACCATGTATTACATGACATTTTCCCAAAAAAACTTGACTAGAAAATGTTTATATTAATAAAAATCCCTAAACAACATGATTTTAATTTGTACGGATTAGTAACACCGTTGAAGTAGTAAGTCCATAAGTTCAGTCATAAATATCACAAACTTATGGAATTACTACTTCAATAGTATTACTAATCCATATAAATTGAAATCCTGTTGCCTAGAAGTTGTTAATATCAACATTTTCCAATCTAGTTTTTCGAGAAAATGTCATGTAATCTTTCCATGATTTCCACCATCGAGCATCAAGTGGCGGAAGCAGAAACTAATTAGTTGAGCGATAGGGGCAGTAGTGTAAAAAATATTTTTTACGTCATTATGAAATTGCCTCGTTGATTGGTTGTTGCTTACTGCTTGATGCTTACATGTGAATGCATCTTATGCATTATCTTATGCATACGATATCTGTCATCATTGGTCTAGTTCACACCGAGAGTTCGGTCCTTTGACTATAAACACATGGATTGCCAATAGCCAACTTCAGACGTGTCGACAAATTGGAAGATTAGACTCCCCGAGACAGAAATTTTCTAGAAGCCATTTTTGTTAATGGAACATTTATCAAAATTGCTGCGTTCAATATGTCCAGATTCAAATATTGCCAAAAATAAATTGTAGCAGAACAAAAACCACAGCTATAATAAATGAATGTTTAGCCAAAGAACAATTAGAAGTTTTGCAAAAAGATGTTCTAGAAGAAAAATGTTATTATTCTATAATTATTGATGAAGCAACAGATGTTTCAATAAAAAAGTATTTAGCAGTAGTTATACAGCTTCTTTTACAAAAATAAAGTTAGAGATATGTTTTTTGGTCTTGTATCAGTTCACTTGGCTGCACTCTTTAATTTAGTTGTTGAATTACTTAAAAAGAATAAAATACCGCTTGAAAACATTTGGATTTGCTGCTGATAATACGGCTGTTATGATGAGGACAGAAATCAAATGTTCAAACAAAATTATAAGAATTAAATAAGGATATATTTACACTGTGTATGTCACTCGTTACATTTATGTTCATCAAAAGCTACAACAAAGTTACTAAAATTCGGAAAAATTTGTATATAAGAAAATTTGTATTTTACTAATAGCCCAAAACGAAGGGATGATTTAGAAGAATACAACAATTTTTAGAGTTAAAAATCTCACAAAATGCTGCGATCCTTTCAAATTAGATGATTATCATTGCAAGTAAGTTTATTGAAATTTCAGTTAAGTATAACTTATTCAGTATTATTAATAATTTTTATTGACAATTTGATAAATTGATAAAACATTTCTTAATTAAAAATATTTAGGATTATAATTGCATATATTATAAAATAGATTTATTGTAACAGTTTAACATTTTAATGAAAATTAATGTTATTGTACATAACATTTTTTTATTTTTAATAGGCTATCGTTGACACTTTTGTTATGGAACTCTTTTAAATTGTATTTTACCAATGCTGCATTTAAAGAAGATAAACTACGTCTAACAAGTGCAATACTTGAATTTAAATAATCCTGTCTTTAAAGTATATCTTATATTTCTATCATATGTACTAGACATTATAAATAAAATGAATCTTGTCTTTCAAGGAGAAGACACACGAATTCATATATTGCATACCAAATTTAGTACTTTATATAAAAATGTGTTAAGAAATTTTAAGAAAACAATTATTGATAAATTGAACTTGTCAAAAATAACTAATCCTGATTATTATGTAAAATTAGAAGAAATTTATATAGGTGTAAATGTGGAACTTTTTAAAAAATTTGAAAATGCTTCATTTGATCAATTTTAATTGGAAGTATTTCATATGAAAAATAAATTAAATGAAGAAATGTTCCCTAATTAAAAAAAATTAATTAAAAGATTAATGTATTTGTTACATACGTCTGCGTAGAGAGAAATTTTTCTCAATTAAGTTTAATTAAAACAAAGTTAGAAATAAATTGGATGCAGAAACATGCAGTTCTATAATATTGTTCAAGCAACTAATGGCTGATGAAAACTGTTATACATGGAGTTCGTCTGAAACATTATTGCAGAAAAAATGGAACTATTAGTCATATTTTGATTATTATATTATGTAATATAATGTTTATGTAATGAATAACAGCGTTAATTTTGTTATCGAAAAGAAATGTTTTTAAATTAATTTAAGTTTATATTGAAATTATATGATATGTATAATATCATAACATGCATATTTGTTAAAATAGTTTTTGTTAAATGACTGAAATAAAGTTTATTATCATTTTCTATTAAAAAGCAACAAGCGTTAATCTTTTATTGTCTTCTCTCCTTAAAAAAAATTTTTGCTTGATCTGGTTCTATCATTTTTAGTCTATCTGGTACATTTTTGCTTGATATGGTTTTAACATTTTTAGTCTATCTGGTATATTTTTTGTCAATCAGTTGGTACAAAATCTTTTTCAATGGTGGCAACACTGAGTGTACATCGATTAACCTAAAATTTGTTAATTGACACTATAACCAATACAATACAAATTTCCGCAAGTACGACACAATTGTCATAATAAATGTCATAAATAGATTTTATTGCTATATTATTACTGATGGAAGAAGAAGAGAAAGAAAATAGACGTCGAAAAAATATAATAAGGAGAAGAGAGATTTAAGAGATTTAAGAGATCCGTTTTTTCCAGATAACACATTCTCAAATTGTATAGGTATGTAAAAGAAAATTATATTTTGTTTTAGATTACAATTAGGCTATATGTTTGCAATAAATACAAATAAGATGTAAGGAACATAAATATGTGATAAGGAATATAAATATGTCTTATTATTCATCGTGTGTTATATTTAATCTCTTTTATTTCTTTCATATTTAATAATTATTCTTGTTCTTAATAATTTATTTTTTTCATGCTGAGTAGGACTTATTTAACATATATAATCATATGTAAAATTTGTTCATAAAAATTTGTTAAATAATAATGTTATTATTGTGTATTTTATAAATAATATGTATATTGTACATTATGTAACATTTATATGTTTCAGATTATCTAAAGTGGCAACTGTACAATTTATTGAAGAATTAAAAAATTTTATGTCAGTTCCACAAAGAAGAACAGCAGTTTCTCAATATTCACAAGTAAATTATTACTTTTTCTTTGAATTTCTTTTCTCTTTTTTATTTGTGTTTTTAATTGTTATGATTTTATTATAGATATTTGTAATACTTTATTTCTTAGCATTTGGTTCCTATCAAAGAAAAGTACAAGATTTTCTCATCATCATGCATCAGTCCATTTCTATGCATGTTACTGTATTAAATAATATTATGGGATGTTGAATTCAATTCCAACATCAAATAGAAGGAAACAACAAATTAAACCAGAGAAGGTACATAGATAATATACATAAAGTTTGACAAAAATTTCTACAAATTAATTTCATTCTTTATATCAAATTTTTTGAAACTGGATTTCTAGGAATGATTTTCAGGCGTTATAGATGGAACTTGCATTGTCATCTTTCCATCACAAACTGAACAAGAATATCTTTTCATTAACAGGAACATTATATATCATTGAATGTGATGATTGTAAGAATAAAAATAATCAGTGCTGTAAGAGATATAGTTTTAATAGTGCATAATTTGTACTTATGTTTTTCTATTCTCTTTATATTTGTTCCTATAATAACGAAATAGTAGCAATAAATACAATGCATGGAAGAATGCATAACGCCAGAGTCTTTCATTCTTCGCGTTTATTCCATTATTTAGGAAGACAACAGGAAGCAGATGAAAGAGGATCGTGGTTTATAGATATGGCTAATGATTAGATATATTGTTTATACTATATTAATGTTATGTTTACATTATATTAATTGCCATTAATTGTCAATTCGTAATTTTAACTTCCATAATATTTCAAATACTATTAGGTGTACAACTTTGCTTCCGCCGTTTTTTTCCGAAATTCGAGGCTTTATTATAAAAAAACTGGTTATACATTTATGATTCAAAGTATTGTCCATCGCTGGCCACTACTTTCTCCCATCTTTCGGGTAGCGTACGAATCCCGCGTCGAAAAAACTGGTCATCTTTTGAAGCTATCCACGAATCGATCCAATTTTTTACTTCTTCGTAAGACCGGAAGTGCTGGTCAGCCAGGCCGTGTGCTATTGATCGAAACAAGTGATAGTCAGAGGGAGCAACGTCTGGAGAATACGGCGGGTGGGGTAGGACTTCCCATTTCAACGTTTCCAAGTATGTCTTGACCACTTTCGCAACATGGGATCGAGCATTGTCATGCTACAAAATCACTTAATCGTGTCTCTCGTTGTATTGCGGCCGTTTGTCTTTCAATGCTTGGCTCAAACGCATCAATTGCGTTCGATACCGATCGCCTGTGGACGTCAAAATCATCGTTCTTAAAGCGTTGAAACCACTCACGACACGTTCTTTCATTAATAGCGGCCTCACCATAAGTATTTGAGAGCATTCGAGTCTTAGCCGCAGATTTCTTCATATTGAAGCAAAAAATTAAAACCTCCCGCAAATGACGAGAATTTGGCTCGTAAATTGACATTTTCAATCGAGAATAACTTTATGCTGCAGACACAAAGCGACTAATGTTTCTATGGGGTTATGTTGACAGATGCCCAAGTTTATTGTATGACGTCTATGATCTATTTATTTCGACCACCACTTACCTCTAAAGCCATCTATAGAAAACGGCGGAAGCAAAGTTGTACACCTAATATATAAATGTTTATCTCGATATTTTGAAATGATTGATTAACATGACAACAATTTCGTAGGCATTTGGCTATTTGAGCCAATTGATACTTATATTGTGAGTTTTAATATTTTTTTTTTAGGAGATTCCATCTGCTTATGTCTTATCTTTTAAAATCATTTATAAACGCACCTATAGGCTCTCCAGAATTCAGATATACAGAACATTTTACAAAAGCATGATCTTCTCCAGAAAGAGGTATAGATATTTTGAAAGGTTGATGACGATGCTTGCGAAAAGAGAAGGCATTGCATTATTAGCTGGAATTCGCAGGTATTAAATATAACTTTTATATATAACATAAAAAAAACCTTATTAAAAAAATGTAATGTTGTTTAATATTTATTATAATACTTTTTTTTCTAGCTCATATTGTAAATGCATATTGCGTTCTACACAATATTGTTATAAAATGGAGAATTCTAGAAAATTAAATTTATTTAAATGAGATAGATGAACAAACACCAATACAATATAACATTGATGTAAATAACGCTGAATATGACGAAATGTTATTCGATGATATTTTGAATAGACAAGGTATGTTGCGTTTCCTTTCATTTTTAAATATTTTTTTATATTTTCATAACTAGCACATAAAATGTTAAAAATTCAATTAATTTCTGAAATAAAGATTCTTATGCACAAACGTCAATAATTGATAAATGGCTAGAAATTTGTTTTTAACGATATAAAAGTTAACTTGTATTTTTATCTTAGAATTTACATTTTAAAACTTATTTTATATTACTTGTTTATTCACTCATAAATTATGTTATTTTAATATTACAAAATAAAAAATTTTACACTACTACTTTATTTGAATACTAAAAAAATATATTAATTAATTAATTTAATACAAAATATTCAAATATAATAATCACATTATGTTAAATTAATATTTTGGTATGTTAAACATTAAAATTTTTATGTTCCAGAAGCTCGAATGTCTCGAGCTATACAATTGTGCAAGATTATATTTTTTAACGTATTTACAAGAGACTAAATGAAGTATTCATGCTAAAAAGATTCTCATAAGGAGAATGCTGTGACTTTACAGGTACACAAAAGAATATTAAGAATCATGGATTGGAAAATTAGAAAAATCTGTCAGAATTGAATTTGAACGATAACGATATAAAAGTGATAGAGATTATTTTTATTGTTACTGAAGAGATAAGTTGTAAGGCTTAAATATAGTCTTTTCTTTTTTATTATTATTCAAATTAACAAGTGATATAAGAAAGAGAATGTATATTCTATTTTCCTTCGTTAAAATATAAATTTTAACTCTCTGTATAATTTTTTTCTCCATATTTATTATACATTTAGCAAGGAATATATATAACAATATAAGCACTCGTCGTGATTTATTTTTATGCATATTAATTATAAGTCGTAATGCTTGATTGGATGAGGGAAGATGTTATGACAATCGAGGTGTATTGCTGCGGCTTGTAATAATTATTGTACAAATAGATAAACATTAATGAATGGACGCGGAAAAATTTATTATCTTTATTTAGAGTCCATTATTAAGATTTGTTTCTAGCAATTGCGTTATATTCTCAAATAGCCTATAATTTAAATATCGTATAATTTAAATATCGTATGGGGGATTAAATGGCGTGTGTATATTAGCGAAACGCTCAAATAATGTAAATAAGATATAAACGTATAAAGTGATTAAAGATTTTGTGGAACAATATAATATTACGAAGACTAATATTAAATTTTGCACGCTTTATTGTTGTATGCAAACAAGCAACAATTTACAGAGTTATCACTAATTTAAAAGATGTTAATTTCTTTATTAATTATGTTTCTTGTTCTATAAAATAAAATAAAATCATTTTGATGATAGTGTTGTTCACAAAAAGTAAAGTTATAATTTGTAGTATCATCGCAAGTTTAAATGCTACATGAATTACACATACATATATATATATTAATTACATACATATATATATATATAGCTTTGGCCAAAATATTAGATACTTAAATATAATATGTTGAGCTAGAACTTTTTTGCATTAGAAAAAAAAACCAAATAAACATGAATTGATTATACTTAGTAATTTCAAAATTTATAGTGTATATAAAGAAACAATACTATATGACAATACTATATTACAAAATACATATATTTTTGGTAACTTTTGCATAATACATAAACTTTGTTTATTCAAGATCTATTGTCAGGTATTGTCCTATTAATTCTTCCATAGTTGATATGAGATCATTTGTATTCTGTAATTGCTGTAAAATTCTTTTAAGAACAATTAATTCTTTTTTTATTTTTTTTCTGTTTCAATTTTAAAATTTTCTGTTTAATATTCTCGAACGTTGTTGACTTCTTTTGTAATAAATTAATGGCTGTGTCCATAAGTCATGATTTTTTTACATCTAAATAATAAACTGTCGAAATGAAATACAAAATTTTCTGATTTATTATATCAGAGAATTTTGTATTTCGACAGTTTTGATGTCAAATTATCAAAGTAATTTACTATTAATATACTTTGTGCATTGTTTTCCGCATCGACTACTAATATTTCTTTAACGTTTTCGAGCAATTTGTTTTAGAATAACAGGAGTCTATTTTTCATTTTAATGATATTAATACATTTTATTAAAAAACTTTGTATACTTTTTGAATGATTTGCAATATAATCCTCTGTATCATCTAAAGATAATGCATATTGTTTTATCTTGTTTCTATAAATAGTAAAGTAAAATACAATGAAGTTAAATCTATATTAATCTATATTTAAAAAAGTAATACATTATAATGCGTGCCTAAATAAATCTTATATGCATATCAATTTTCCTTATTTTTAATTTGATATACATTCATATTGTGTGATGAAATAATTGTTTCACATTTATTTCTTTTAATATTTTGTTTTCTGTTTTAAAGAATTATTTTATTGTCTTGTTATGAATGTTTTATTTATTGAAACTTATTAATTAAAAAAGAAATAATAAATTTATTAATTCATATTTTTAAACTAATTAATAAAATGATGATAATTAAATCAAATTTGTAAGATATCTCATTTTTATTATTTTTAATTGGATGTATGTTACTATTTAATGGCATACGTAATTGCATATTCTGCTTATTTTGTTGAAAGGAGAACGCACTTTATGTGATGCCATTTTATCATTCTAAGCATCATGTGAAAATACTTCATCTTCTTTTCCTTCAATATTAAATAAAGCAAATGAATTCAAAGTTTTATCATAACTATCTGTAAATCCATCTTTCGAAATATCTCTTTCCCATCATGTAAATCTCTGCTTTGCAACCTTTTTTAAAGTTGGTATTAGCCTTCCAGTCTTTCTATGCTTGCAAAAAATATGATAAGCAATAAATAATAATTTCACAATTACACAGTTTAAAGATTAACTCAAAAGTAGAGATGTACAAACTGTTTGAATTTTTTATTCGAATAATTTGCACATCTCTGCTTTTATATTGTAGATTTATACATCATTTTATAAAATCTAAAGGTTTGTTCGCATCACATGTTCCAACATGTTGTAATATGCTTTTAATATAATTCTTACTCATTCATGTGCTTGATAGAATGAGTAGGACTTGTTGGAGCATGTTGGAGCTTGCGATGCGAACAAACCTTAAATCATGAAATTTTTTTGCATTCTATCGCATATTCTATATTTTATTTACAACTCTTTATTTAAGTCAATCAAAGCTGGCATTAGAGATGTGTGAACTATTCTAATATCGAATCGAATTATTCGTATTTGAATAGTTCGCATATCTCTACTCAAAAGTTCCAAAAAATTCATATATTGATGATATATTGATAAAATATATATACATATACTACATGAGCTGAAAAATCCTGGGATTTTTAAAAACAAGCGTTTTTTGGGCAAAGTAATATTTATTCCTTAACATAGTTGCCTTCGAGGGCAATACACTTGGTATAGCGATTTTTCAACATTTCGATACCCCTTCTGTAGTACGAAACGTCCAAGCCTTCGAAATATGCCTCGGTTTCCGCGATGACTTCCTCATTCGATGTGAATCTCTTCCCCTGGAGCCACCGCTTGAGGTTTGGGAACAGATAATAGTCGCTGGGGGCCAAGTCTGGAGAATACGATGGGTGAGCAACCAATTCGAATCGTAATTGCTCCAATTTGGCCATCGCTTTCAAAGACGTGTATGATGGTGCGTTATCGTGATGATACAAAATAAAGGTGAAAGTAGCGCCATTTAAACGACTGTAGCTTATAAATGAATGAACGAAATGGCATGAAATTATATAAACTAGTGACAGATGAACCTCTCGAAATGAATCATGTTCATTTTCTAGTGATGCCATGTATTGAAAAATCCCGGGACTTTTCAGCCCATGTAGTATATGAATATATATATATATATA